AGAATGAAAAAGGCTCTTGAAGATCCACAAAACTATTGGGCAGAAATTACTTGGTGCTAGGTAAACACGATCACTATTGTAATGTTTAGACAGAAAATTAAGATTTGCTTTTAAAATAATTAAATTAGCCTTACGTTTACAGAAAGCCAATAAAGGAAACTGTTTAGTTTGTGGACTGAAATACTGACTCTATTGATTGACTGGCCCATTGATTAGATTTAGATTCTCTTTTTACCTGAAAAAGGCATGTGAGGTAGCAAAAAGAAGGGGAAAAATCCTTAAGACAAATGAATTCACAACACAAATAAAAAAACAGTTAGAACACTGTCTAAGCTATATGTGACCCTTATTAGCAGCACGATGTTGTTGTTTTTTCATTTAAGTTTCTCCAACAGTGGGAAACAGTGTGAAGTCTCAGGAAAACCACTGCTTTTTTCCATCTCCATCTATGAGCACTTTATTGTCTCTCCATCAAATGCAAGATATTGCCTCAGAGCCAGGCTGCACAATTGTGGCCCTTTCACTGCTTAAGTGTAAATAAAATAACAATAATTTTAAATAGCAATTATTAAAATAGTAATGAAAAGTTTTTGATGAATATTCTTGCAATTGAAGAAGAAAAAAACACCATACCCCCTTCTTCCTCTATTTCTTAGTAATGTTGGTATTCATTATATACAACACAAAGATGCTGGGATGGTTTCTTCTTTAAATATTTTCTATTTTTAGGCTCTCCCCCCCCCAACATGCATGGCAAGCAGAGAGATCTATGTCACCTTGTCAGCTATATTTTTAATATATTTACTTTAAAAAAATGATTCTGTCTGCACCTTTCTTGCCTGTAGACTCTTATATCATCAATTCATTGCCATAGGCTGCTAGTCTTCAATAAAAATGTCAGACCAAAAGAACAAAGGTAAATCTGCAGCAGTGGAAATTGGTCACTTTTACTCCTCCGGGCCTCTTCCTCCAAAGATGCTTCCCAGCTCTTCTGGCTCATTAACCAAACCTTAGTGAGAAGCATATTCAGTTGCATCTCTCCTTTCTGTCACCTGAGTGTTATACTTCCAAGAAACATCTCCTGAAGAACAGCAAAGTGTCATTGTTGGTGAATATGACTTTTTTAAAAAGTGCTGCAAAATGTCACCAAGAACCCATTTGCTCTGATTCCCTTCTACCCTGAAGGCCAGAGCAGAGGTGTTCAGAAGTAATCTATTAGGAAGTCCTAATAGATCTAGGGAGGATTTGTCCTCGGGTGTTGGGATGACTCCCCTGAGTTTCAGCTTTGTTTTTTTTTTAAAAAAAAACCCCTTTAATTGTGAAGCCTGGGGGGTCGGTCCAGCCTCAGTACAATTACAGAACAGATAATTGGGGACCCATGCAATGAAGAGCAGAAAATACTTGTTAGCCAAGTAAGAAATAATCCAAGACTGCCCCAGAGTTTGAAAGATCCCAATGGGATGATAGAAAGCATCCCAGTAACTAGTTTAATGTTGGTAAATGGTCCTTTGGTAAATCCTCCACTCCTACCATGGCAGACATTTTGTAAATGGGAGCCATTTTTGAATGCATCCATAACATGCATTTAAAGTTCCAAATGTGTATTGTCCTCAAAAGTTGCCTATCACTCGGTTAGCAGAGAATCTGTGCAGAAGCCAGTTGGAAATCCATTCTCTTGCCAACAGGTTGTAACTCATCTTTGGTTTTGCAATATATGCACAACAATCTTCATATCTGTCTGGCTGCTCTGGCTGAATGCTGCTGCTTGTTTTATTTTATCTCATGTTAATTTTATTCTCCCAAAATAAATACCCAAATGAAAATAGCTAATCCCAGTAGAGAGAGCTTTTTGCTCAGTGAATTATTTATAGCTGCCTTGTCTACATGTGTTACACTTCACTATTCTACACTCACAGGGAACTGTGCTCATGTTTGAATAGTAAGAGGCAAAGCTCTCAGTGTAGTGTCAATGTGCGTGGAAATTACCAGTCAACCATGCAAGCACAATATGGGACTATTTAGCATTTTCTTAGGACTTCAGTTCTGGTCATTTGCTTTGTGTGCATCCCATTTAAGTTAAAGGGAAGGGGGCTGAATTGCAACAATGAGGAAAAACTCATGGAGACACAGTGCATCTTCCCGTCAATAAATTACCAGCATCATATTTTAACGATCTATGCCTATACTGTGTATTTTCTCATCTGAAGATCTGAAGTAATATATGGTAGAAACCAGCCAGTCAAATATCCTGACATGACTATGTTTAAAACAACAACAACACACAAACTCAACATCTTTAGGAAAACAGGAAATCTGGCTTGCACCAGGAGGAAGCCAGAAACACTGTGGCTACACATCTGTCATGTACTAAAACAGTCAAATGGGTCAGGCTAAAATAAGGAGGAAATCACTGGTTTCACCATGCCGACTGTCCCCCAGTTGAAAAATTCATAGCGTAAGGGGGAAAAAAGCTATTAAGGATAAAATAAAAACAAATATAATAGACTTCTCCCTACATTAGATCATGGGAGATTTCACAGGACAATGTGGTGATTGTAATTACTTCTTTAAAATTAATTTTCTGAAAAAAAAAAATTAAAAAGGAGAGCGGCATACCTTCCAGCAACAAAACATCTGTTAGAGAATACTAGTCACATTTCTCTTGCACATGAATATAACCTTGAAATAAAGTGTATTTTTCTTTGTTCAATATTATGGGATTTTAAAATGGCTGCAACACCATAGACCTGTATTTCCTCCCAGTCCTTATTAACTAATACCAAAAAGCAAAGAAAAAGAATGCACAAAATTGTAATATAATAATAAAGCTGTAAAAAGAAACAATTTTTAGAGAACATATAATCATAGATTTACATTACATACACATTATATGCATGATGTACAGTAAACTGTTCAACAAATGGAAGTCATAATTCATTACAGTCATCCCTAGCTAATCTATATTGATAAGATATTGATTTGTAATTTGCTGCTAACATCAATTCTGCAGACCACTGAATAGTTGGAGCCACATATTTGCCTTTGCAGTGCTGAACAATAGGTCTTTCAGCTGCAGGTAAGGTATGGAAAATCCCCATTCTTTCACCAGGTCAACTCCCATGCGATAGGAATAAACTTCCAAAGACTATGCACATCTGAAAACACTGAATCTTGAAACTGAGTTAATGCATGTAATAACTTCTTTCCCCAAAGGAACAATTGCTGGACATTGTAGAAAACCATATTTAAGTAAAGCATTAATTTCATTGCCTCTTCAACAGCATAATCACTTACTCAGGCTTTTCTATAGTTATGAAATAAAAGTCCCTTTAAAAGATATTATTAGGCTTCTTTAAATGTCTTCACTTAGTAATGGGTTACTGGGGAACACACTGTTATGCATCCAGTGGAGGTTTTCCGATTTTGTCACAAGTGGAGTGGAGAACATCCACTGTGTCTGATCTGGTGATATTTGCATCTAAATGAAAACCTCTGTTAGAGGACAACAATTTTGACAGGATTTTCTCCGGCTGCCATTTTAAATTCTGCATCCCTTCGTTTTTGTCAACAGCTGCAAATCCCAAAGAAATCCATCAGCACATTGGGCTACTAAGGGTTCCTTTCCAAAACTATTTTCAGATGAGTGTATATATCTGTAGGTATTGGGGAGAGAGGGGGCTTAGCAAACTTCAGCAATCATTCCTTGGATTTGACCCTTTAAATTTATGAATTAGCGCTTTAACAGTTGAAAGATTAATGAAAGCTTGAGCAGAAGGTTATTATAGCTCATTTATAATTCCACCATCGACCTTTTGCGAATGATATCAAAAATCCATTAAGCCATTAAAGCTACCTATTACAACAGGTTAATTTATGTACCACTACTCACATTCATGAAATTCGGGAACATAAATGGAATACTCCTTTCATGTATTATTTTCTGCATATCAGATTTCTTGTCCTTTAATTCTGTTACACTAACTATATTAAAAAAAAAAAAAATCCCTGAAACAGAATTTCAAAATTAACAGTCCCTACCTTACCAGATTGGCCCTAAGATGGTTTTTTAAGCTAATAAATGGCAATGTTTTTCTTACTGAAAATTTGCCTTTATAGCAGCTTCAAACTGGCATATTTAAAAGAAAGGAGGAGGAAATAATGTATCTGAATGAAGGTTTGATTTTGAGGAGTGGAGTTGATGAAGTGATGCGGGGGTGTGAAGGTTTAAATATAATTAGAAATGAAAGGGCAAAATTGTATGCCAGAAAGTATGAATGTGTCACTGAGATTGTTGTAAGTGCATGTGAAAGTGGGAATTAATATATTGGTGATAGTTGCATGTTATGTTCCAATGAATGGCAATGTAACAGTAACAGTAATAGATTTGGAAGGGACCTTGGAGGTCATCTAGTCCAACCCTCTGTCCAGTCTCTCCTTAAAAGGCTCCAGTGTTGGGGCACCCATACTTTAATGGAAGAACAAAAGTTCTTTAAATTCCATTAAATTGTAATGGAAGAACAAGAGTTGAAATTGTGCAACATTCTGAATGAATTGAGTTCAGGAAAAGTAATCATCAAGCAAAATGTATGTGTGAACAGACAGTGAATGGGTTGAGAAGAAGGAAGACCAAAAACAGCATACAAACAACAGAGAGAGAATGAAAGTGAGCAACAAAAGAAAACAAACAAAACAAAACACAAAAAAGTTTAAAGGACAAAATTAGTATTTCAGACAGTGTATGGACATGATGAAAGAAAAATAGTTTGCAAAGATCAAAAGGTATGGAGAGGTATAGTAATGGCATCTGTGTAAACCGAATTTAGCTATTTCCTTTCCTTTTCTATTTTTTTTTAACTATGTGTCTTTTTCTTTTGCTTACTACAGTATTTCTTATTCTTTATTCACAAAATGTCACTTATCATGCTGGGGAATAATGATGGTTGCATTATGCATGCTAAATATATCTTCACTCTTCAATGTTTTTTTTTTTTAAATTGCAGCTCCTTTACTTATGAATCATTTGCCATTCCTGCCTCCAAGACTGGATTCTGTTGACATGCAGTCTTCTAGAATTCCAGGCCGAAAAAGAGGAAGACCTCCGCTCCATTCCAGCCCTATGAAAATGGCAGTTCATAATCTTTACTCTTCATCTCCTGGTTCTCTGCCGGTTGTGAAAATCCCAAAGAAGCGAGGGAGAAAACCTGGATATAAGGTGTGATATCTTCTTCTTCTTCTTCTTCTTCTTCTTCTTCTTCTTCTTCTTCTTCTTCTTCTTCTTCTTCTTCTTCTTCTTCTTCTTCTTCTCCTCCTCCTCCTCCTCCTCCTCCTCCTCCTCCTCCTCCTCCTCCTCCTCCTTCTCCTCCTATTATTATTATTATTATTATTATTATTATTATTATTATTATTGTTATTAATTTTGCCTCTGCTTAGATTCAGTCCTTTTGCAAAGCTTTATCAGAATACTTTGTTTAGGGTATTATCGGAAGATATAAAATCTTCTAGCTGGCTTGCCCAGATCTAGGAAAATTTGTAACAACCTGTCTGTTGTGTTTTATTAAACCTTTCAAAAATCGTTGTATAGTAGAAACTACCTATTCTGCATGAACCACAATTAGTGGCTTAGGAAATGGCATAAAGATATTTCCCTCCACAGGACAATTTGCTGCTGCTGAACAAGCTTTTCGCTTCTATGACCCCCATGCCATTTGACTTTCTTTGGCAGCTGAGCTAGTTTACTCACCACTTAGCTGTAGGGAAAGAGGAATTGGTTTTCAGCTGCAATAAAGTGGGGGGAGGGTCTCTGGAATTTGGATGCAAGCTGCTTCCCCATTGAGGGAATTCATGCCTCAACTTTCTTCCTCAGATCTGAGGTTCAGCTGCCCTAGCAGATTGTGTTGTGAAATGTTGGTTTGACAGCTCTGCATCTCTTCCTCAGTAATTCAGGTGAAATGAGCAGAAGTGAAATTGACAACATACTGCACTTCTCTCTTTTTTCTTTGGCTAGTATCAGGCCAGGTATTAAGCAGCAAATTGCTTTGGTCTTCCTTCCTTCCTTCTTTGGGTAAAGTAAGGCATGAGGAATTTGGCTGTTATGAACTGTGTAACAGCTTGGGCAGTGAAATGTCCTTGGTTATTCTGAATAGTAGAAGTGATTGCAGGTCATTTGTAAAGGTTTTGAGGGATAGAGGAGTGGATAGTGATAGTGTACAAGTGCCATTAATCTCTTTGCATAGCATTGTTGACACTAATCATGAGCAGTTCTCCAGAGCTTCAAACAAATGGGGGTTTTTTTTCCAGATCCATTTGCCATGAATTCATTTTGAGGCTTTCCTACAACCAAACATTTCTTTGTTTTCTCTATAGTATCTCAGATTTGCTGAAGAACAAAACACTACTTTAAACCAAATAAGAGTTCCTACATTTAACAATAAAAACGCCATGGTTACAAATATCAAATAAAGCTCTATTTTCTCATCAGGTAGGAGAAATTACTTATTTTGAACTGTGGCAAAAAAACAAACAAACCCAGAAAAGATCGAATGTTTTTCATTCCAGGAATCAAGCTTTATAGAATATTTGCTAATATATTGTATTAGAAGCTGTAAAATAAATTGTAATTTGCCAGGTCCCTGCACGAATCACACAATGTTTACAATATCAAAAAGAGAGTGTTCTCCTTCTAGTTGTTTTGTGCAGTCGTTTCACCTGCACAATGTCTGTTCGATCAGGGGTCTCCAACCTTGGCAACTTTAAGGCTTATGGACTTTGAATCTCAGAATTCCTCAGCTAGCCATGCTAGCGAAGTTGGAGACCCCTGTTAGCGACTAGTTTATATGCATCCAATCTAGAAAGTGAGTCCAGTCAGAGCTGATCCTTTTTAATCTTTAGGAAGCTTGCCAAGACTACAAGACTTTTATATGTGATATTAATTCTGTCTTTTTCATCTGGTTTTTATAGTGTCCTATTCTGAACTTCCAACAATTACCAGATGTAAAGATGATCAGAAAACAAAACAAAACAAAACAAAACAAAACAAAACATGTATGGATATTTATTTAGAGAATCAGTTGATGTGAATACCCATGATATTGCACAGCAGATGATTTAATAACAGAGCATTGATTTTAATGGTAAACCCAGACTTCAAAAACTATGAGTTAGTTCTAAACTAACTTCTCATCCAGATGTAATTGTTCCATTGTAGGAAGACTTTTTAATATGTGGAGTCCTTGGTACTCTGTTAGCTTTGTTGCTTTCTTGCAGACATTTCATTACCTGATTAGGTAGCATCATCAGTGCTAGTGAAAGTGGAGTTTGCTATCTGTTTATATATAGTAGCTTGCTTTGCCAGTGTGGGTGGTGATGTAGTGTGGTTTTCCTTGGTAGCTCCTTGATTAGAAGATCTCATTAGTTTTGTCTATTTGATTGTCTCCTTGGTAGCTTTTTTATTAGAATATTGCTTTCTGCTTGATTGTTTGTTTAATATTGATCTCTGTTTATCTGTGATAACCACACCCCCACCTACACTGCCAGGGCAAGCCATTGTGTATAAGCAGGGAGCAAACCCCACATTCACCATGACTGATAATATTGAAATATCTAAAGGAAACCACCAAGTTCAGAAAGCACCAAGAACTCCATAGTTCAACCCCGAGCTACATATATTCTCTTCTATTGATACTTTTTAATATCTGAAGATGCCTAAGGCTGAACAGTAGAACTTGTATTTTATAGGGAAGAATCCCCAGTATTATGGAGGCTGTAAATTATTTTAGCACCTAAATCTTACAGAGTAAATTTTACAAAGCTCCTTATTTTACATGGATTTTTTAAAAAATATAATTATTTGGTACAACTTTTCTGCCTTAGATTTTATAGCACCTAGAGTGAAAACTCAAGAAAAAAGTGATAAAGTGATAAATAGATAATTTCTTATTATTGGGTCTGGAATAATTCAGGCAAATAATTTTTAAATTAATAATAAGTCTGGATAGTGGATGTGGCAGTACCTGGAGACAGCAGAAGAGAAGAGAAAGAACGGGAGAAGATAACAAAACAATAAAGACCTGAAAATAGAAATAGAACAACTATGACAAAAGGAAGCAAAGATAGTACCAGTAGTAATAGGTGCCTTAGACACAATCCCAAAACAATTGGAGCACCACTTGAGTTCCATCGTATTGACAAAATCACCATTAGTCAATTGCAAAAGGCAGCTTTACTTTGAACAACTTACAGCCTGCAAGGATACTTTAACACCATCAACATCTACCTATCCCTCAATAGGACTCAATAGGAGGCTAAAAATGCCAAATCCAGACAGAACATCTGGTTGACTGCATCAAACCATAATTACTCTACATTCTGTACCCTGGAGTGATACAGAACAGGTTGTGATTTCTATATAGCATCCCTTTCAGGCTACTATTATATTCTTCTTTCAAGGACATTCTCAGCTCTTTTCATTTTTCTTAATAGGATTTACTGTAGTTTCCAGGTCCTTGATATTGTTTGCTACCTTTCTGTATATCTGATGTAGTCTGTTGAATGCTTCATAAACTGGGATACCCAGAACTCGATATAATATTTGAAATGGGAGGAGATGGGGAAGAAAGAGGATCACTGCAGAAAAGGAGGAAATTATTTGCCTTGGAAACCGTAGTTCTATGGTGCAGTCTAAAATTGCATTTGTCTTTCTTGCAGATTGCCAATTCATATTCAAGTTTATAATCATGTACTCTTCTTGTTTTTCATTTAAACAATTACAAATAATGTCCCAATAGGAATCAGGCATGGATGAGCCATATGCAGCTTTCCAATTGCGTGTAACATCTCGACACTCTATTTGCGACCATCCCAAAAAAGAGGATGGGACCAAACATTTTGTATTTGAATACCTTCAAATACAAAAAGGGGAAAGACTGGTAGAAACACATGCCTTAAATTTGTGCAGGTTTAAAACACACAAAAGTATGAATCTTACCAAATTAGGCCCAGTTTTCTAATTTTGGGGAATTTTATAAGGGAACACAATGGTGCAGTGGTTAGGACACTGGGTCTTAAACCATTAAAGATCTACTGCTTGGCAGTTCGAGACCTGAATGCTGAGAGATGGAGTGAACTTCCATCACTTGTTCTAAATCCTGCCTACTAGCAATTTGAAAGTGTGCAAATTCAAGTAGATGATAGGTGCTGCATACAAGCATGGAGGAAGGTAAGAGCGGCCCATGTTTCGCTATATGCTTTCTGCTCCAGCATGATATAATGCTGTCCACATGACTCCAGAAACGTCTCCAGACAATGCTATCACTTTGGCTTAAGAAATAGAGATGAGCACCGCCCGATAAAGTTGGTTACGTCTTGTGGGATAAAACCCACGGGGACAGGGAGATAAGTATGTTTCGAACCTCTTCAAATTTTAAGGCACCCAATTTGCCGCATAATACCTCCCCCTAATTAGGCTTGCCATTCCTGCACTGCAAATACTTGGTTGACTTTTAGATGGCATTGATAGTCCACCAGATTTCTGGGTTCCAGGTATGTCAGTGCTATCCCCCAAACATTCCAAAAGTTCTAACTTGTTTGGTGTTCTACTCCTTTTTGGTGATGTTGCAATCTCACCAGCATTGCCTCCCCACCCATGTTTGTTCGTCTTTGCATTAGGACAATCAAAATAATTATAAGAGGTATCTGTAGGGCATTTCAAGGCACTAGCAGTGAATTTAAACCTTGGCTATATTTTTAAAACAGTGGGAAATGGAAAAGGCCGGTCCTGTTTGCCTAAAAATAGATAAGCAACCGACTGGATGAATCTTTTCTATGAAGGAGCTCCATAGCCTTCGCATTGCTCCTTGTTTATCCTCAAGGATGGATAGAGGAGGTGGTAGCAAGAAATGTCTCCTCTAGCATTTTAAAGGATAAGAGATTCATGTAGAAGGAACAGTTGCTTTTCATTCCCAAACCATTAAGAAAGAGAGTTGTCCAGAGAAATAAACTGACAGTGGGAACTTCCTCTGCCTCCCCCCACACCAGCCAGCAAAGCTGGAAATGTTGGGGAACTCTGGTATACAGCATAGTCCAAGAGACATTTGCTTATCTTGTCCATCAGGTTTTCTCTGGAAATTCTATCATCTACAAAATAGTTTTTATATCTGGCTTGTTGGATAATTCTTAGAGGAAAGCATCTCTGTCATCATAACAGTGATAACTCTT